ATGCATGCAACACATGAGAAACACAAGCATGAACTGAACGAACGAATAATTCATTATCAAAGTTGACCGCATGGAAATCGCTCACTTCGTTTGCAGCACAAAGTACATACATATGAGAGTGAAGGTATAAATCGTGTATTTGGATCGTTAGTTGATTCAATCCTAGTTGAAAGCATTAAAAACTAAGATTTAAAAAAACTATTAAAAAAACTAAAAGCCACGGGAAACCTATTCTGGGTTTTGGGAGAGGGTATTCTAGCCTACGCAGTACTGTTCGCAGCCGATGTTAGTCTGATCATGTATAGCAAAGTGGGAACTTTATATAAGCTGTATATCAAGACATTAAAATGCTTAATCTGTAATATATTCACGTTTCTTAACCAGGAAATATATTCAGCAGAATAAATACAGTACGCTATGAGATTGCTCTCACCACTCGAGATCTGCTCATTGGGATCTTAGAATATGGAAATAAAAACACTTACATGAACAAGGCATTATGACTGATAAATAAGCAACGTGTACACTAGCAAAATAAGATAAAAGAGAACTGGCTGGTGTTGGCTGGTTCAGATGTGAATGCTGGTCTCAGATTAAGTTTTCGTTAAATATAACTGGTACAGCGTAACTTTGCAATGGCACAATGCGTTAGATTGCACATACGGATCAAGCAAACTTTCAACAAAGTTTCAGTGCGTGTTACAATGACAGCTGAGATATTTTTAAATCAAAATGTAACTTTTAATTTGATTGTGATAACTATTAAATTTATAAATTATGGATCGAGTCATCACTTCCGGTATTCTCAGTAGGATGTTTATTCAAACCATGCAGGGGATCACTGATCATGTCATCTGTTTTCAATCAGTCGTTTCATTTTCTAAACGTCATCAGTACAAATTTCCCGAGATAAAGCTCAAAAAAGGTTCTTCAACTTTGGTGATTCAGCACAAGATTTAGCACAATACAGTCAATAAAAAGAAGATTTTTGATGTGAATTCTCAACATTGACGAACGTGGGAAAATGCGCACTGGGAAAGTAAAGTTGAAGGCTTTCAAGTAGTTCTTCTGAATGCAGAACTGTGCTGTTTTTTACGATCTATTCACACTAATTCATTCATAACATTTTCTATCAGATCGTAACCGATTCTCATTGATAGATACAAATATTCTCAAGCAAATTGTTCATTCATTTCATTCAATGCTATCGGTCTCCAACGAAATAAAAATAAAGATATAAAATTCTTCACATTCATTCATGTTAGCTTAGACGCCCAGTTTGCTCATTCGGGTAGTGTTTGTCGAAGTTTCTGTTTCATAAGTGTACAATCTGCACTTCAGATTCTGAATTGTATCCCATTTCGTTCCACAAGTTGGTTCATTCAAACGTTCATCGATGTCAAATTCATCAGCACTGGACTGTGATAAAATTGATTCTTGGGACTGTGGTGAGTTTTTGGAGTCGTCCAGATATTGGAATCCTCACATTCCAACCTAAACGAAGAGATCAACGCATATCTCACGAGTTCCTTGGGCTCATTTGATAGTTATAATATCCAGCCTGCATCATAGATATACCACATTTCAGGTTCTTTCAGTACGAGCGTATTCGTAATAAGAGCAACGGTTTGCCTGCTAAGTTTACTATCATGCGCCTACATACTCGCTCTATCGTTATCGTTCAAATCAAATGATCTGTTCAAAGTTTATACAATTCATATGTTTACCCCGTTTGTGCCGTTCAATCTCACACAATTCGCCTATTTATCATACACATATCTCTCGAATCAGCCAATATGGCAACAGTAAGTGACACATTCCTGATAATTCATACGTGTTAGACTAATGAAATCCTATAAAGAAGTGGCCCCATTGGGAATGAGGTTTCAACGAGCTCAGCCGAATGTTTCGAGCATTCGGATCAAAAGAGGGAAATTAACTGAACTCCGGTAGGGGAAGTGGGGATTTTGCTAAAACTTTTGTCTCATTCCACCGGGAAGACTGTTTGCGATCCAAATGTGAGGATTCAGTGGTTCTCAATTTTGATCAAAATTTTTGATTTTTCTTTCAGGAGAACAGTTTTCGTGTTCATCGTTCGTTATTTTCGCTTCCTCATCTCATCCGAATACAAAATTTTCATTAATTTGTTAATATCACTGATGTTCACGTGCTACACATTCCCAATCAAATATCAGATCTATTTCGATAGTCGGTTCGTTCTTCTGCGATCATCGATTCAACTTCCAACAATCGTGTCAAGTCCTCAGTTGATAATTTGTCGTTGTCCGCTTAGCTCATTCTTCGAGCAACGATTGTTCCAGTTGAAGCTAATAGCCAGTCGTGTATCAAATTGGGCGCTTCGATCATTTTCGTCCCTTTAACTGTTTTTGTGAAATTAACGTTGCTATTAACACTCACGTCGTTTTCTGACTGAAAATCGCACTCATTTTGCTTCGATCTCATCAAATAACAGCTGATTCACTAATTTTATGCCCTGTTAAGACGATGCAGTCTTCTGTTCTTTGGTGGACATCTTGTTGGGCACATATTATCAATCATGTCAATTATTTGCATCTATAAGCCATGGACAGTAGAAAACGACGGTGCTTTTGTGGTGACATTCGTCAATTCCATCTATTATATTGTGGAGGTTAGTTACAATTGAATTCATTATCTCATGATTATGAGCGATGTTGCTGAGCGAAATATTCATTCAAACATTTCTCGAGCGATTTGTAGTTTTTTCACATTGTTCATTTTTCAGATTTCAAACGTAACGTTCAGTTTGCTGACTCTTGTAACATTTCTAATGGTGAGTTGAACATAAAATCAATTGTTGTACAACTCAGAACGTATAGAATTTCTGAAATTCCGATGTCAGTGATTTCAGAGGAACGATTTAGCTGCTTTTCTTGACTACTTCACCAAAATTTTCAATCGTTCATTGCACATCGCACATCACCGTAACTCAGTGAAATTTAATGAAACAAAACAACAATGCANGTATATAACTCTGGATTTTGATGATAAATAAAGAAGTAAGTGTTTGTCGAAGTTTCTATACTGGTGTCAAAAGAAATCGAGCCATAGGTAAACCTGAAATGAGCTAGAAGAGTGCCACAGCGTAATGCAAGTGCAGTGCAGGGGGGGGGGGTAAACGATGAAGTATCATTGGAATCAGACACAGTCAAACACAAATGATAATGAGAGTAGTGATCATGATGATAACATTGCAGACGTTAACAGCGATATTCAGAAGTGAAAACACAAACCAAACTGTCAATGAATACAGTCGAAAACGCATAATCGCTTTGATTATCTACTCCATTCCACCATCGATTATGAATATCGCCTCAATACGTGAACATTAACATACCATCTTTCATTATTCTATTGAATAATTGCAAGATCATCACATAATACTCAAATTAATTAGAACTTTTATCGCTTCAAAGTCTGCATTTTTGCTGTTCCAGTAAAGTCTGTGCACAACAAATAAGGAACAAAATAATGGCATTAATGAATTTTCAAGTTGACATAGTGATTTCTGAGCGATATGTTCTGATAAGTTATGAGCGAAAAGCTCGTCAGGTGGTGTGTTCAGGCATAATCGTCATCTTTTTCTAGTGTATTGCATTGGTTCTGTTTTTGTATCGTTTGCAGCGAGAAGCTTCGTACATAGCTGGTTTTTTCCTATTTATAGAGAATCTAAACTATTGGAAGATCGCTTTATTGCCGTAAGTTTCTTTTGCAGTTCGTTGCAGTTTTTGATGAACAAACTCTTTCTAAACATCAGAACTCAACCAAAATGTGATTTTCAAGCTATTCAAAGTTGCTCCCCGATGTTCTTTGTCAGTGTTCACGCTGATCACACAAGCAATCAGTAAATTCTTGAGTCCCTCCATTTCACAAGCAATTGTCAGATCAAAACTGTTTCAGTGTCGTTCAATTGTGCTCACCATTTGCACAATACTAGCCTTCAAACAATATCGCAATGCAACTCTGTCGATTTTGAAATGCTGCAAAATTGCAAAAGTCTACCGTTCTGAACAAACCATATCGACGACTGTCTGTCACACTCTACCAAAGAAATCAATCGTTGCAGCGACTGGAGGACCGATGCGTACGTACATGTGATTTGATTAATTTTGTGAAACACTCTTGAATTTATTGTCAATTTCCATGAAACAACAATGAATGAATAAACCACTGTACAGTTGCATAACACAATATATTAGCAAAAAACGATCCAGAACAATGATACAGTGCTATGATATCAAGACCTCTTCACCGAATCAACGAAAGAATTAGTAAAATAGATACAGTCATAATGAACAAATGTCTAACAGACTACACCACCAATATGTTGGAAGCTGCTAGAACTTCTAATGTGCTGCAATGTAATCGAGCACGATGCGATGTCCCTTGAAATACGATAAATTTATGCAAAGATTTCTGTCGCACCCTACAGTACAACAATTATTAAGATTTCAAAAATCATGGAATCCTATTTTTATGTTATTGATGGTACGCCCTGATATATTATCAATGATAATGTGATACGAAATGATAAAATGACGCGTATGATCTAGAAAAGTAGTGTTTTCTTTTGCCAACCACAAGTGATAAAATGATTTCTCAGCAACAAAAAAGTACACAGTAGAATATTTGCACGATGACGGTCATTAACTGCGGGACTGATAACAGGACTGCTATCATACTGATGTTGGCTACGCTTGTTGATAAACAATCGTCAAAATAATCATATCATTGATTAAGTAACCTTCGATCTTATCTCACTGTTGATTTTGCGATACGACAATCGTGATAATAATTAGGTGCAGTGTAAACACAGGCAAAAGCTTGTTACTTTTGCAGGCTTGCAAATTTTCAGAAACTGTTAAATAAGTAACAGTTTCTCATTGAAATCCGTCGAAGTTCTCTGATTGTTCACTTTCGAGTCTGATTACATCACACAGCAGTGCTCTGTTAATGAAATTATGAACGTGAAGAAACTCATGCTCCCCGCCATCTCATTGGCTGTCTTGATCGCAGGTGCTGTTATGCTCGGAATTGGTATCAATAAATACCAATCGTCGGGTAGCGGCGATTCGACAGGTTGGTAGTAAATCAGGCTAATCCGGCTCACGCGATTCGTTCAGCTAATCCAGCTCGATCCCAGAAAAAAAGCTAGTCTCCCATTATTTATTGCTGACAATCGTTCATAATGTCATTGCATGATTCCCTTCGGATTAGCTGAAAGGGGGTCTTATTGGAACTTTGATCATTCAAAAACGAGCGATGAATCGTTTGAATAACAATTGTGAATTTTTCGAAATGAGACTACTCAGTTGAGAAACTGACTGAAACTTGCTCAACTTGCTCAAAATCAATCGCTTTGAGTTTGACGCCCGCCCTCTCTGCTGTTAGCATTTTGAAGGAATCTCCAAAATAGGAACGTTGAATCGTAAACAAGTTGAAGCTTGGCATTACGGAGATGATCCTCACTCAGCATTCCACCGTTCAACGCGATAAATTTTCGCCCTGTTTCAGTGAGTAGCACTGTTTCTTACTATGTAACCGCTCACACATCGTTGGTTTCATTTGACGATGTCCAACGAAACTACGCTCGAGCCGCACAAAAACTTAAAACTGAGGTAAGTGAAAGCAGTCGATCGAGTAATGTTGCTTGCAGCGACAGTCTGAATTGATCACTGCATTTATTTGGAATAATGAATTTGATCTTAATTATGAGTTGTTATGCACATGAAATAACAATTTTTCAAACTATTGCTCAGATTACAAACTGGAATATTTGACGATTCCTCAAAATATTGGATGATCTGAATGAGAATTGCAGCAAAGAATCAATTTTGAAAAAATTTCTAACGAGCCCTCATCTGGCACATTGTTGAGAAGTCTAACGATGTGTCGTTCAAAATCGTTGTGATAATGTTGAATTGAACTTGTCGAGTCGTGATGATTTACTAAATTCACGTCAGGTTTTCAGCTGTCAAACGCTTTGAGTTCGACGTCAAAACAACAGCGTCAACGTCCCAAGAGAGATGCGCCTAAGAAACCAACTGTAATTATGTGAGCAGGATTAGTTTTCAATGAGGATTTTCTCCAACAAATAGTCAAAAGCGAAATAATTTCACATTTGAAGAAGAAGAGAATGCGGTGGTCTATGTGCTTTACGTAAACTGGTCATTCGATTTGCTCGAAGAATATCTTTATCCACAAAGCATAAATCCACGTTTAAACGGATTTCCAATGGTTTAAGAGCTGATTTCAGACTAGGAATCAGTGCCGCTCGTCAAGGCGGAGTGACTGTGATGAGTGGACTATTATTCTCGATTAGCTATGCTCCAGATGCTGCACAGCTGAGAGACTCTATCAACAGCATGTCGAACACCTATCTGTTGAATATGATTGGTAATTTCTTGCAGTAACTTATAGTCTGATCAGATCAAAAATTGATGATGTACACAATATATTATCAGTATTTGCTCTGATCACTATTTCATTCAAGTGCTTCTTTTCTTCACGTTATGTCTCATTAATTCATGATTTCATCCATGAAACTAAGGTAACGAGCATGCTGAAACGACTTTTGAG